CCCAAGATGATATAATTTAAAATGTACCAGAAGTCATATCTATGCAAAAATATTTCTCCCACTGGACTACCTGAATTTCTCTTGCTCAGAATGAAGGAAATTGGTTATCTAGGAAATCACCCCTGAAACCTGCAGTTGCCTCTCTTCACTCTTCATAGTATCCTATCAAGGATTAGTCTGGAAAATTATTACTCATGGAAATCTGAGTCCTGGAAATTTTTTTAACAAAACCAAAAGCATTTAAGATGGTCGAAAGGAAGTTGTATTTGAAATGTTACAGTACAAATCTATTTTCTGTTTTGTTTTTTTTTTGGTACCGGGGCTCAAACTCGGGACCTTGCACTTACGAGGCAGGCGACAGAACCACTGAGCTAAATCCCCGGCCCTAACAGTACAAATCTAAATACTACTGTTTATCTATTTCTAACCATATATACCCTTATTAACCGTGACTTCTTTATTACTCATTATTTCTACACATGCCCTCCTTTACCTTTCTCTCAGGTCCAGAGGAGTCCTGTCTCCCTTTCAACAAAAAAACCCAGATTCCTCTGCTCCATATCTCCTCAGATGGATTTTTCATGGCAACTGATCTCTATTTCCTCTGCACCCCTGAACTTGAGACACTACATATATATATATATATATATATATATATATATATCTTATTAAAAACTCCAAAATTTTTCCATGGACCTTAATTTCTGCTTTACTTTCCAATTGCTGGGAGAAAATATCCAACACCTGTAAATGAAAGGAGGGGAGGTTATTTTGTCTCACAGCTTTCAGAGGATTTGGTTCACAGTTGGCTCCAAGGCAGAAACAGTATGGTAGAGGAAAGCAGCTTGCCCTATGGTAGCCAAGAAGCAGAGAGAGAAAGGAGGAACAGGGGATAAGAATACACCCTTCCTTGCTGAGGATATAGTTCAGTGGTGCCTCACCTGCCTCATAAGCACAAGGTCCTGAGTTTGATCCCCAGTACAAAAAAAAGGAGTTAAGAATACACCCTTCCTGGTCATATCCCAGTAACCTGCCTCTTCTGATCAGACCCCATTTCCTAACACATGAAGACTTTTGGAGGATATTTTAGATGAAGACCATAACATTTAGCTAATGCATTTTTCCCTTGAAAAGGGAAATTTAAAATTCTATACAGTAATTGCTGGTTAAATCATATTAAGTATATTTATTTCAGATATCGGTTGAAGTCACTACAAACCAAAGAGTGTCCACCAGCCCTCTGAATAAAATGGTACGAGATGCAGAATACTAAATTAATAATGATGCCAAGGAATTTAAGTTCTTTACTTTGGCAAATAAAGGACAAAGGAGTGGCATGATAATTGTTCAAAAGGAGATATGAATTGTCTTATGGAAAAGGGATTAGAAGCATCCTGGGATATTCCGTAGGACAGAACTAGTAACCAATTGTCTAAACATCTTAGTCTGTTTCCTGTTGCTATATTAGAATATCTGGGACTTGGTGATTAATAAAGGAAAAATATTCACTTAGCTCACAATTCTACAGGCTGAACAAGTAGGTTCTCCCAACCTTGGTGCTGGGGATCAAACCCTGAAACCCAGCGCCTCAAACATGCTAATTATTTGCTCTACCACTGAGCCATATCCACAACCTAAACTCTGGAGGCTAGAAATTTAAGATCAAACAGCTGCAGTGGGGAGGGTATCATGATGTGTCATAACCTGGTGCAAAAACAGAAGGGTGAGCATGTACATGCAGAAAGAAGAAAACGTGAGGGGTGGCCTCATTTTATAACAACTAGTTCTTTTTTTTTTCTTTTTTTTTTTAGCTCATTTATTGGTACATTTTGGTATATAATTCATTTACATTTATCATTGGGTGTTTGTACCTGTACATGATGTATCTTGATTCTTATATTTTTCCCCATTAACTGTGCACTCTTCACCCCCTCCGCCCTTCCCTATTTACATAGATTTCATTTCCATTTTTTTTTCTTTTCTCATAGGTTTTCCTTTCCCTCTTTTCCTTTCCCCTTCCCCTCCCTTCACTCCTTCATCTTTGGACCTTTTTTCCTATTTCAAATTATCAATTATTCATTTTAATCATTTTAACCCTTGTTTACACTATCAGTTTCTCACACTAGAGAAACTATTCGGTATTTATAGATGTGTGTCCTATTTATTTCACTTAAGAGTATGGTCTCGATATGCATCCATTTAGCTATAAATGACTCTAGTTTTTCATTCTTTAAGGCTGAGTAGTACTCCATTTTATTAAAAAACCACATTTTCTTTATCCAATTTCTAGTTGATAGGCACTTGGGCTGCTTCCAAGCTTTAGCTATTACAAACTGTGCCGCTATAAACATGGGTGCACATATATCACTGTGGTATGATTCTTTTAATTCTTTTGGGAAGATACCCAGCAGGGGAATAGCTGGGTCAAATGGGACCTCTAGTCCTAGTTCTTTGAGGTATCTCCATACTGACTTCCACAGTGGTTGCACCAGTCTGCACTCCCACCAGCAATGGAGAAGGGTTCCTTTCTCCCCACAACCCTGCCAGCATTTGTTATTTGTTGATTTCTTGATAGCAGTCATTCTTTCTGGGGTGAGGTGGAATCTCAGTGTTGTTTTCATCTGCATCTCTCGAATGACCAGTGATGTTGAATATTTTTTCAAATATTTGTTTGCTGCTTTTACTTCCTTGTCTGAGAAATGTCTGTTCATTGCAGATGTCCATTTTAGAATTGGGTCTTTGAATTTGGGGGGGTCTGATTTTTTTCAATTCTTTATATATTCTAGATAGTAGTCCTTTGTCTGACGTACAGCTACTAAAAATTTTTTCCCATATTGTAGGTTGTCAGCTCTGCTGGTGGTTTCTTTTGCAGTGCAGAAGCTTTTTAATAAGATGAGATCTCAGTTGTTGATTCTTTCTGCTAGTTCCCGCGCTGCTGAGGTTTTGTTCATGAAGTCTTTTCCTATGCCAATGTCTTCAAGAGTTCTACCTAACTTATCTTCTGGAAAGTTTACTGTTTCTGTCTTAATATTTAGATCTTTAATCCACTTTGATCTTAGTTTAGTGCATGGTGATAGGTATGGGTCTAGTTTCAATCTTTGGCAGGTTGAAATCCAGTTTTTCCAACACCATTTATTAAATAGGCTATCTTTCCTCCAATGATGGTGGTTGGCTCCTTTGTCAAAGATGAGGTGGCTGAGCTTGTCTGGAGTTGTTTCTGCATCTTCTAATCTATTCCACTGATCCTCAGGTCTGTTCCTTTGCCAGTACCATGCTGATTTTATCACAGTAGCTTTGTGGTATAGTTTCAAGTTGGGGGTTGTGATACCCCCAGTCATGTCTCTGTTGCTTAGAATTGCTTTAGCTATTCTAGGTCTCTTCTGGTTCCAAATGAATTCTTGGATTGTTTTCTCTAGTTCTGCATGACTCTATAACAACTAGTTCTTGAGGTAACTCACTCTAGGAAGAACCAGTCCACTCCCAAGAGAAAGGTATTAATCCCATTGCCCCCTAAAGGTCCTCTCGCCTTGGACACTGTTACAACACTGTTTCAACATGAGTACTGAAGGAGACAAAGCACATCCAAAGCATTGCACTAAATTACAACCTGAAACTTGGCACTAGAAAGGGATATCTTAACACTACCATTCAACATGGAGCAAGGTATTTTTGAGAAAGTGAGCTCTATACCAGTACAAGTGTCAAAGCAAAGGCAGGTAACCATCTTTTAGGTATGATGTAGAGTGGATTCTGCTATACAAGACGGGAAGAGATTAGACACTCCTTTATGACTCCACATCTGGCTTTTACCCCCTAGGCCTAATGTTATGGTTAGCAGCTCCACTGAAAATGTCTACTTCAACATTCTCTATAATTAAGGAATTCCCTCAGTTAAGGGATTTATTCAAAGTCGGTTTCATGTTTTTCCACAGTTTTCACTTTTCAAAAGGAAGCAGAGTAGGTTCCTTTTATTTTTCCACATGCAACTTTTTTTTTCAGATTCCCCTTATTTATGGCCACCATTGGACATACTATAGCTTGTTGAGCTTCCTTGTCTTTTTGCAGTACTGGGACTTAAATGCAGGGCCTTGGACATGCTAGGCAAAGGCTCTACCACTAAGCTACACCCCAGCCCTGAAATTCTCCTCTTAACATGGAGGGTTCTAATATAAACATAATGTATTTTATTATGGCCGGATTACAAATTCAGTTTTAGTCATCCTTTGAGAGAGGGCTATTATTTTAACTTTATGATTTTTTTCCCCTAATGGTACTAATTGTTAATAACCTTTAGGCAAAATTCCTAAAATTCCAGCATTGCATCATTCATATCCAATTACTCCCTTGTGGACTCAAATAATATAAATCATTCCTTCAAGAAAGAGTGGAGAGTGTTTTAAATTTAGAAAATCCATTTTTCTTCACCAGTCCTTTACTTCCCCACCCTAATCCTCTTTTTTTAAATTGCCTTGTTCTGTTTCAGATCTTTGTTTTTTCTAGGTCCAAAGCTTTATTTATTCCTAAGAGTTCATGTAGGCGTAATTAGGTAGAATTAATAAGTACAAGATCCTTCCTGACCTTGGTAGAACTGGCCAGAAGAAGAAAGTAAGTTTCAGATCATTACTGAAATGAACAATTACTAATGTAACATTTACATTTCCACCGCTAAGGAATATTGGGGAAAATGGTGCTAGAAAGAAGTAACAAAGCTTATGAGAAAATATTTATGTAGAGATAGCTAAAATGAAAGGAGCTACTGGATATTCCGCTGAAGACAGGTTAATGTTGGGCACTGTAGATATTTACCACAGTTTATGTTTAGGTTATTCCAGTTTCTGCCATATTATGACAGTGACGTGTCATAAGTTTTCAAAAAGTGATGAGTTTCACTAGTCAAATTTCACTATCCCTTCTTTGTGTGCCCCCTACCCCATCCTCCTGAGAAGTATATTTCTAGCTCAGTTAATACATTAGCAGGAGAGTTTATTTTTCTGGCTTAATGCTAAACCATCATTATAGTATAGAAGTTTATTTCCAGGCAGTTTTAAAGCAGAACCATTACCTTCCTTCTTATAATTATAAAGTTTATATTTGAAAATAACTTTCAATATCACATAACACATTAAAATTGATCATGTAAACTTTGCATTTGTCTCTGCCACATTGGTTAAACATTGTAAATACAGTGCAGATTATTTTTCTATAAAACAGTTACTGGAAATTGGAGTACATTATTTAGCTGGGACCACTGTCACATGTGGATGTTCTCATATTTCACAGAGAAGAAATCAGTTGGCATCAGGTGAAAAGCAAAAGTTTACTCATTTCTCATCAGAAATATTCTGAGGGAGGTCAGTTAGGTTGGTTTGTTAGGATCATTTTTTCATCAAATACATGAGAGGACAGACGTCTTCTGATACTTCTGGGGTAATGAGATCTTCTTTATCCTAAAGAACATACAATTAGGTTCACACTCCATAGTATGTGAGGAATAGACATGTTATAGATTCAAAAATAATATAAAGACATGCTACAATACAGTGGCAGAGATTTTTGAATTGCTATACCAGTGTTTTTATATGATAGTGGACAAACCACGAAAAGTTCATAGGTTCACAATGTCTGGAAGGCTTTCTGATTTCATCCATGCAAACCTAAGAAGAAACTGTGGATAAATTCTTATGAAAACTTTCTCATGGAATCTCAGAGTTAAAATGTGAAAATGTCCCTTATGCTTCTGTCTGAGAATAAGAAATGTTAAATAGAGTTGTCTTGGTTAATATATTGTCAAAGACTGGTTTATTCCACTATTTGCAACTCAACAGCCTTGAAATTTCTCATGTAAATCTAAAACACAGTGTTTGGAGGTTTTTACAAACGGAAACAAGAATTGCTAGGGAGTGTCATGGCTATGTGCCATCTCTGTCTTTGGCAGAGTCGACAAAGCAAGAGGCCCTTTGATGTCAACTTCAAACATTCATAACATGACCCATGAATCCTATTTTTATTCATCTACTGTGTGATTGGGCTGTCATTAATTTATACAAGCCACTTAAAATCTATTTATATTTACAACTTCTCCCACCTCTGGTTGGGTAATGAATTCCATAAATGTAATCTGGACTCTTTGGAGGTAGATCTTCCTTCTTTTTGTCCTAAACACACACAAGCTAGAAGTGGTGTCCTCTCAAATAGATATTTTAGGAATATTTTAGTGAATAATTCCATGTTTACCATATTTATATTATTTACAATCTTTGAGACATCATTTGGTTTGTTTCTAAAACAGAGTACTCACAGAAAAACCAGTTTCCTTGATTCTCTCATCTTTTAAAGCAATGTATACATTCATTATTGGGACACAAGTCCCAGTACTGAGTTTCCCATTTTGTAACTATGGATAAGTTATTTGGTCACTAGACACTTCATCTTGAAACAAAAATTTAGGCTGAAATTCCTGTTCAGTTCTGTGACCTTTTGAATTTGTGACTAATAAAATGTAAATTATGGAACTTACATTTGAAGGCTACAGAAATAAAATGAAAATCAAATCATCATTTAAAAATGGAAACAAATATTTTGGGAGACTAAGGGAGTTTTATAAATAAAGACAAATTATGGCATGTGACATGCTAATGGATGCTGCTGAACTATTACTCATGGGTGGAAAAAAGACAAGCTCTAAAAAAATTTATTTCTCCTCTCTTAACTTCAAATGGCCAGACTTACCCATTTTCATGGCTCCACGTGATATTCCATTATTTATTACATCCTCCTTGTCATTCCTTTTTATAACATTGTGTATGTGTGTGAAGAACAGAACTTCATTGTGTTCTATTTGGACAAATACCTCACGTCCCCCTCATTAAACAATAAGCTCCTGATATCTTCTTCATGGGTGACACAATCCAGGATCATTTGAATCCATACAGATGGTCATGAATGGTCATGGGTTCAGAGCAAGCACACTGGTGCCAATGCCAAGGAAATAGAAATTCTGATATGAATAAACTTGTATGCTTATTCCACCACTGGCTGTGTTTCTACAAGGGAGAGAGACTCTCTGACTGCATTCTTGGACTCTGATTCTTGGTTGATTTTCTCTTAACCTTTCATACCCACCTTCTTTAATTGTTGCTTTAGTCCTTCCTAGTGGGAATCTCCTACTTTAACTCCTGGATTTAGTCTGGTGAAAGCCTTCTTAGACACAGATTAGAAGATACTTATTAATATATTGTATTACTCAAATATATTTGATAATCCCACCCAGCATCTTCTATTCACTGTGTGCATGTTATATGGTCACACCCTAAATTGATCCTCTGGTCTTTATGTCATAATATCTGCTGTGATTTAAGGTGCCTATCCCTCTGGTCTTCCAGCTTCTTATAAAATATATAAGGCCAACTAATGGCTTGTTTCCTGCTCTTAAATCAATGCAACTTAGAATGAAAACCTCATACCTTTGCTCTTTCATTTGGTCTTGAGCCTTTTCAAAACTGCTTTTCACAGGCACAACTGCTGGATCCATTTGTCACTCCTGATCATCTCCTGCTTTTGTCCTCATCTCTGTTTCTGGCTCAGGTACAGAGGTTGGAATGAGAAACAGCAAGACTGTTATATGAAGTATTAGTCTAAACACTTCTCAACTATTAGTCATTTGTTCCTCATAACTCTATGACAGTTAGTATTGCTGTTCAACAGATGAATAAAATAAAGTACACTAATGAAATAACTAATCTGACCCAAAATATAGGTCCTTAATCATTACCGTGGACATTCAATAAGTTACTAAAAAACATTTCCAGCTTTTTTCCTTGCATGAAAGGCACATAATAGGATTACAGATTCTGCTCTTTTGTGGGTGGGAGAGGTCAAGTGGCTCATTCTGGCCAATGAGTTATGAAGAGATGGTTCAAGCTGAAGCATTTTGCTGTGGATATTCAACTTCCCATGCCTTTTCCATCTGGTATGATAAGCAGCATTCTCAAGATGTTGGTATATCTAAAGCTGGGTCTAAGAATGATTACTATGAGAGAGTCTCCTGAGAACATGTAGTATGAGAAAAACATAAGCTTTTCTTTGGAGCCACTGAGATCTGAGGGTTGTTGGTTACCTCAGTATAACCTAGCCTATCTTGCCTCTATAGGATAATACAGAGTAAAGGCAGAACAGATTCTCTGTGTATGAAAAATATATTTCTTTAAAGTTATTCACATTTGATACTATACATTTTTGACTTCTTAAGTCCAGTTTCACCATTAGTTTATGCTTTACCTTATTCCCAGTGTCTCTCCAGAATATCTTTGAGAATTTCCTTTGATAAGAAATTCTGGGGCTCCTTCTTCTTAACATTTTTAAAGATTTACTGTAACTGCCCAAATATTAGCTTTGTTATAAATTTTATGATATTTAAGAAATTTTATTATTGTAATATTCATAAAATAGATTTTAAAATCATATTTATAATTTGGGGAAATATACAGTAATCTTGAATGAACAAAGGACAATTTGAAACTATATAGGCAACTACAGCTATGTTATAAAGAAAGCTGTAGTGGATATTCATTTATTAGAAGTGCTGTATTTTAATTATCTTGAAAAAATCTTGTGGTAGGTATTGCTGACTATAAAAAGTTAATTTAGGTTTAATTTTACAAGTTAATTAGCTAAAATTACTCCTCTTCTTGCTATTAAAAATGAAATGTCTCATACAGTCAGCAGGAGTGTGTGTACTGCAAAAAAACTTATATCCAAAACTTGAGGACTTGTTAGCATTCACAGAATCCATTTAATTACTGCATTTGTATCAGAGTAAATCAAAATTATAATCATTGCAGGTTGAGTATTCCTCATCCAAAATGATTTGGACCACAAGTGATTTAGATGTCAAATTTCCTTAGATTTTGGAATACTTGCATATACAAAATAAGATCTTGAGGACTGTGTCTGAGTTTAAGTACATAGTGCACGTATATTTTATATGTACTTTACTTGAGGCCCAGGAGTAACCTTATACAGTACTTTAAACACATCTGTGTTTTAACTGCAACTCATCCCACGAGGAGTGTAATTTTCTGTTTCTGGGATCATGTCACAAAGTGAGATTCAAAAAGTTATATATTTGGTGGCATCATAGATGTCTGGTTTGGGGATATTCAGCCTGTAATAGTTTTTTTAGAAGTATTTATTTATATTTTTATAAATAAAATATGTATTAAAATAAAATATTTTTATATTTATATTTATAATCTCTTAAAGGGGGAAGTATTTGTTAGAGTGAGAGTTCAGCAAGCTTTATCTGTTAAGGATCACTTTATAAATGTTTTGGGCTTTATGAGCGGACCCTATATGGTTATTGTCACTGCTACTCAACTTGGTAACCACAGTGCAAAAGCAGCCATGGACGATTTAAAAGGGAATAGGTATAGCTGTGTATTAATAAAACTTTATTTTCCAGTTCTGGCTTACAAGTACCAATTTTTGATGTAGATTGAGTTAAAAAAAAAAAAAAGGAAAAAACTCTCTTGGGTGTTTTGTAACACCTAACACATCAACTCCTGAATTAGTGAAGCAGGGTCATCACAGAATTGATTTCCTGTCTTCCTCTAAGCCTCATGACACTAATGGCCCCAGTCCAGTGAATTGAATACTGAAAAGTAGAGGAGGAAACCTCCCAGCAACACTCAGCTCTATTTATCCTTATGTGGCTCTGAAAATTATGTAAGCTCAATTTCCCCATTTATAAAGCATGTGGAGATAGTGGTATGAAGTCATTTCTAGATTCCTTTCACTAATCATATTCTTTTTGTGATTCATTGTTAACATTTAAAAATGCAAAGCTGGGACCAGGGATTTAGCTTAGTGGTTTCACCACCTGCCTCGCAAGCCTGAGGTCCTGAGTTCGACCCCCAGTACCAAAAATAAATAAATAAATAAAATGCAAAGCTTTAAGTCATTGAGTAAAAATTATGACATTAATAAGAGCCTTGTAAATTTCCTTCAGAACTTTGCAAGAGATGTTATGTCACTATTTCTTTAAGGTTCCCCCAATACGTTCATATTTATTTTTATAAGGCTGTATTCTATAGGTTATTGGAAAACTCCAGAAGCTGTCCTCATGCTAAGGTAGAGATATGAATAATAAAATTTCTAAATGTAAATTTAGTTTATATATATTCCATCCCTCCCCTTATGGTAGCTATTTCAGGATTGTGAACACTAATCTGATGGGTTTGGGCTAATTTCAAAATATCATATGTGTACACAAGGGAAAATGTTTTCTTTCTTTGCACTTAGGTTATTCCTTTGCTGATAGAAATAAACATATATACTAATATGTATATGTACATATACATATAAATGTAGCATATATGCATATGAGTTTCAGAAGAGAGTCTAAAGGAAGATATGAACACAAACAATGAAATAAAATATCCAGAAGATACTCTATTAAAAATTAAGGTCATGATCCTTGTTTGGATTAAGGGCATATATTTAATTGCCATAGTATTTAATTGCTTAAGAAATGATATCTGAGTGATGTAATCTTTAAGTGTCAAAAATGGAATGATTCCTATTATATGGGGGTGCATTTATTTGTTCTGTTATCAAGCCTCAGGAGAATAACCAGACATTACTTAAGTGCATTCCATTTATAAATTTCATTAATAATACTAATACTATCATAGAACAGTGGTCCCCTAGTTGGAGCAGAAAAGTGTGAAAAATCCAGTAAAATTTTATTGTAAGTCACTGTGTAGAATTCAGCTGGCCCTGAGCCATAGTCATAGAGATTTAATTATTGACAAAATCAAATATTTGGGCCAGGAATTTAGCTCAGTGGTTTCATCCCCCGTTGCACAAGCTCAAGGACCCAAGTTCAATCCCTGGTACCAAACCAAACCAAACCAAACCAAAAAAAAAACACAACAAAATCAAATATTCTTACCTAAGACTAGCTGTGATAAAACAGAAACTTAGAAAGAACCACAAAAAAAGTATAGTGGATAATATTCTGGAGTATAAACAAAATTAATAGGCCATGTGACCTTAGTTATGTAAGAAAGTATTTTTCCAAAATGGAATTTCATTTAACAAAAGGATTAGTTAGACCTAATAATTATGAAATCAGTAAACATTTATCAGTGCACCTATACTGAGAACCATATAGCAGTTGCACAGAGAAATATAGAGAAGTTGACTAGTTTGCAATTTGAAACCAACAGGTAAGGCAAGCTATAAAGTAAGGATTAAAAAAAGAATAGGTGAAGAGTTAAGACGAGTTAGAGACATTGTAAGCAATGTTATACAATTAAGAGTACAGTGATGTGCCTGTGTACTTTTGTATTGTTGAAGGTATACTTTCAAGGTCCATTCCAAAAGGAGAATTAGCACTCAAAGAGTAAATTAAGTGGAGTTTTGTTGGATGATGTCAACTTTTCCAAAATTTTTTATCAGTTTATATTTCCCCCAGCAATGTGGGAGAGCACATGTTTACCTAAGGTCTCACCAAGAGATGAGTTATCAACATTTAAATGTTCTTCAGTTTGATGCATGTTAATTTGCATTTATGTAGTCATGAGCTTGAACATATTTTAACATTTTTTCTTCTATGTCAGGGATTGAACTCAGGACCTTGTGCTTATGAGGCAGGAGCAGTGCCACTGAGCTAAATCCCCAGTCCTATTTTAACATGTTTAAAGGCTCTTTTTCTGTCATTTTGTGAATTTCCTATGTCAATTTTTTATTGATTTTTGCATTTCCTCAATTTGAGTTTTTTTGAACTTTGTGATATTAGCTTATTATTTGTGATATATTACATCTTGTTAGTAGTCTTTAAATTTTTAAAATACTTGTTTGTCATATGTGGTAAGCAAAATAATGGCCCACAAAGATGTACTTGTGGAAATCCCCAGACCCTTAAAGATTTGCCTTACATGGCAAAAGAGATTTAATAGTTATAATTAAAGGACTCTGAGAAGGAGAGATGATCCTGGATTATCCTGGTGAGGCAAGTGTAATCACAAGGATGGTTAAAAGCCAGGATACATTCCTGAGTGTTGTTCAAGAGAGATATGACAATAGAAAAGGAGACCACAGAGATGCAAAGTCCCTGGCTTTGAAGTGGAGGAAAGGGCCTTGAGCTAAGGAAGTAGGGAGTATCTAGAAATTGGGAAGGGAAAGGCAAGGAAACAGAGCTTCTCTAGAGCCTTCAGAGAGTAACACAGCCCACCTGACATCTTAATTTTAGACCATGAGACCTGTCTCACCTTGTTTTACTACCAAATTTGTGATAACTTGTGGCAGCAGCAATAGAAACTAGTATAACAAGCCATTCAAAAAATTTTAGATGGTCAAATTTATTAATATTGTGTAGCTTCTGGTGCTCAGTCATAGTTAGGTAACCATTCCTTTCACTCAGGGTATAAAGGAATTTACCTGTGGTTCCTTCCATGTTTGTGTACTGACATTTTTATAATTAGACTCCCAGATGATTTGGAGCTTATTTGGGGGTATGGTTTGAGGCATGAACTTAATGGATATATGTTCACATAATCAACCAGTTGTCCTGG